AGGTGAGGGCAAGCATTGGAACAAAGAGCAAATCTCAAAATCTTGGCTTGAGACCAAACTTAAAACAAGAAAGCTGTATGCTTCATGACACCTACATCAATCAGATGGCTAAGTCTGAGAAAGCACTCTGGGAAACAAAACCCTGTCTCCTTTGGCACGCCACAAAAAGAAAATCAAGCATGCCCTCAGCAGCTCAATTGCAAACTCCACCAAATTCCTTCTCTCTGCCTTAGAACCACAGGCAAAAGAAACAATGCTGGGGTCTCAGTTCCTTTCATTTGTTTTAAACATAGAAAATAACCCTGCAAGGTACCAAGAGAAGTCACACAGAAGTCATTGGTTGTATTTGCATTAATACTATGGTTCAAAGCAGCTGCGAAATGCTGAAGTGAAATACCCAACAACTCCTTCCCAGTCTACAGGAAGTGATTTTTGGGTGATCATTCAGTCTACAGAGTGATTTTTGGGTGTGCAAACTGAAATGATTTCAGAGGAAACCTAAGCAATGCAATAAATGTGCTCCAATCCCTCAGCAGGAAAAGAGGGATTCGAATCAATGCACTCACCATTTAAGGAGCTCTGGACCATATATACATAGGGGCAGAAGTTTAGTTAAGGGGAATAGATTTTGAAGTAAAGACTAAAAATGCATATAAAGTAGATACAACTTCTCTACCACATTCTTAAATTTCTTGTTCTGCTGCTTCTTAATATAAACACAAACATCAAATGCAGCTGAACACAACAGCACCCAATAAGTTCAACTCAAATAATCAAGGCTCTTTTTCTGATGATTCTACTCACTATGCATTCTATCAAAAAGTTCTTAATATTTTGCACAATCGTAAAAAAAAAAACTGCAAAGTTCCCAAAATTTTTTTCTTTGCATACAACAAATTCCAACTGGAAAATATGTGATTGATGCTCATCCCAAAACTGTCAATGCTATGCATATGTTTAAGTATAGAAGGAGCCATTACCACCATATTTACTGAATTGAAACCTAAAAGTACTAACTGGAATCAAAACATACCTTCACAAGTACAGTAATGATTTTCATGATATAATGGCAAACATCTTGTCATTCCAATAATTTTCTTTTTTGGCGTGGTGGTGGGAAATGAAGAGCTCATAATCACTTTTTGACACCTGCAAATAAATTTCCATCTCTAAATAGCTTACTAGGCAGCTTATCAAAAAGCAAACTAAGAATCTTTTGGTGAAGGAGCATGCTATTCCCAACACCTATAGAAAATAAAATATAGTATGGAAAAAATCCCATGATTTTAGTCAGAGGATACAAATATTTTCTTGATAGCTGCCTAGACACCTCTTTATGTGTAGCTGAGGTTCCCCAAATCTAGGTTCACAATATAAACAATATAAGCAGGGCATTTTTCAAAGGACCAAGATGTGAGGCAAGGTCAGCCAAAATACCATACTCTAAATATCTCCCCACACTTCTATTTTTAAGGTACTAAAATAGTAAGTGCAACTTATGCTTCAGCTGCATATGAAGTGATACATTTTTAATTTTTAGTCTTTTATCACATTATCAGGCCTTTTGTTCACAGAAAAACTTCTTCCTTATTCACTGAGCACATTATCATTGCCATTGTTTTATGACAACTTTTTGTTTCTATTGCAGCTACGCCATCTACAACTCTGAATTCATCTACACATCTCTGTTCTTTTTATTTACCATCTCCTCCCATCCAGACAAGGGAAAGGCACAGGAACTCTAGCAAAGAGTTTGAATTCCAAGCACACAATTAAGTGAGTGACCTGATGTTTTCAATTATCTGAGATTAAAATCCATGGATATTTGAAGGAAAATAGAAGGGAAAAAGCTATATGTGCAATGTCTTAACATTGACATTCAAGTAAAAAAAGAAAAGAAAAAAAAAGCAGCTCTAATGACAATGGAATTCACGCAACATTACAAATTGACATTTAAAAACGAATAGAAAGTCTTTGAAAATTGGTATTTTTAAAACACTTAAGATTCAGAGTGTTATTAGACAAAACAAATGCCATAGAAACTTTCTTAGTTTTGGAGGTTACAAGAATAATAGAGACAAAGTTGGAAAAAGATCTCACTGGTAGGTAAGATTCAATAAATTTGGCACAAATTGCAAGTGAAGCAAAATTGTTGATGTTAGGCTGCATCTCTAGGGAAGCTCAGCCCAGATCTTACAATTAATTTATGCTTTTACATGACTGCTGCTGCTCTATGCCACTTACCACACATGTTCTTTAATAAAGTGAAATAAACTCTTGAGAAACAGTTGCATATGTACAGTTGTGTGCAAATGCTGCAAATTTCTAATTTCTAAAGAAGATGCATGGGTCTGGAAGAACTTTTTCCCTTTTGTTGGACATATACAATAAGTACATTTTCCCACATAATTTTCTTTTTCAGAAAGCCAAGCACTACCTAGTTAGCAACATGCTATCTAACAAAACAAACTAAATCAAATGCAGCACCTTTTTAAAACAGTTAATGGAAGATGTTTACAACCCATAAAATAGCCTGATGGCTTTCTTAGGAGATAACAGTGCTACATCTGGGTTTTATCCCAATCAACTGACATGAAGGCTAATGAACTTCTCATTTAATTCTTTTGTTTTTTAAATAAATCATAGTCTTACTCTTTCCTCAACTGGAAACTTAAAAGCACCTTCCCCATAAAAGGTTTATTTTGTCTGGTAAAAATGTATACAGGAGACTGCCCAACATTCCAGAGTGATCTTTCATAGATACAAGCTCAGAAAAGGGGAGTGGACAGAAAAACAGAAGGTAAAATGACTTTTACAAATTCAAGTTGACAAATTATCAGAATTATTTCACCCAATTACAAGCTCCAGAATTCTTGGACATACATGAAAACATAAACACGATTAAAACATTCTTCAAAAACAACGTATAGACTGGAAACTGAATGTAGCTTAAGAGGACAAGCAACAGCAGATGTGTACTGTACACACAGTGGACATTCTGCAAAGCAATGTCAAAAATGTACATTTTCAGTAGGTCTTTCTGAGTCCCCTTAGATCCATTTTGAAAGAGATTAGAGCCCTTTCCTAAATATAAGTAAGATCATTGTAGAAAATGAGAAAACCAAAGATTACAGACAATAAATCAAAGAATTCACAGACCAGTGAAATGCTTATGGTGAGACAACTACTGACTGAGGGAATGTATCAGGGCTTCTCTGAAAGTAATGCCTCCTATTTTATTACGTTGGCCCACCATATCAGAGGCAGATGGTGGTATGGCAGCAGAGGTTGAATCTTCCTGACAATATTCTGTCATATTCCGTAGCCCTGTGACAGATGGCAGCAGAGGGGCAGCCTGACAAAACGGCACCTGACATGGAAGTGTGTATGAAGCAAAGGGGTACAGTTGAATTAATCCATGCAGAACACATGACACCCATTGACATTCATCAACACTTATTGAATGTTGATAGAAACCTGACAGTGGATGTGAGCACAGTGAGGCAGTGGTGGTGTGACAACAGGTCACCTCTGCTGGTGCAGATTGTTATGAGTGCAGCACACAGGCTCTTGCAAAAATGCATAGCTAATGGTGGTGATTAGTGTTTTCCAGCTGAGAATTTTCTCTATCAAACAGTGCTACTGTACCTGTCATTACTTCCATCAAAATAAATAGGAGGTATTACTTTCACAGTGACCTATGTAACATGCCTTCTACCTTGCTCAGCTTTTATCAAAATTAAGATGAATGCAGTGCCCCTCCTTAGCTGGGGAGAGCAGTTGTTTTCATCAGTTGCTGGAAACAAGAAAAGAAAATCCCTCTGGGAGCACTCACAACTTGTGCAGCAGGGACAAAAGCAGCAGTCTATACCAAAATACACTTTTTATAACAGGAGTTAAAATGAAAACAAAGACAGTGAAAATTAACAGAAGCCTTGCTTGCTTTTCCATAAGAAGCTTTTCGAAGAATGCAAAGCTGCACAACCAAACAACTTTCTAAGATTTTAGTTATAAGGCTCTATCTAACTGAAGTGTGTGTTAAGCTAAAGAATAAAAGAAGAGACAAGAAGTCTCTTGGGAGTTTTCTGAAGATTGCATTCTTTAGCTTGTGAAGTGAAAAACAGTTTATTTCTACCAAGATAAGATTCCTTGCTTCAAAAGGGAAAAGTGCAGTATTGCTATTACTGAAGAAGAGGAAGTAGCTACAGCATTCTGTTAAAAGATGCCAAAAACAGTGTTTTTAAGAAGATCTAAATGCAAACTTTTAATTCTGTAACGTCGTAAGAAAAGCAGCACAGACAACAGCTATTTTATCTGGATCCAACTGACACATAAGGCCACAAAATTTACTTTAAACAGCAACCTTTGTTTTGTGACAGAATCCAACCAAACCAGCCAATGTTTGAGACCAAACTCACTTTGTGCCTCACATACACAGTACTCTTTCAAATTCAAATCGTTGCTCACATTGTTGTTTCAGATCCGGTGGAACTCCTTTGTTACACATTTTTCTTATGCAACACATACCTAAATTTCCATTTTTTAATCATGGAAGCTCTCCATACACTCAGAATAGCATCTGACATAGGAATATGAAGATACTGTAGTGCAAGGCCTGCTTACTGTGTTTCTGGAAACATTCATCTGAGATGTACCAGGAAGACAACTTTAATCCAAGAATCCATTGCCTGCTAATGACATTTGCTTCAGTTCTTGAAAACAGTAGACATGTTCCGAAGCTGAGCATCACTATAATGAAGCTCCATAGGTCAGGGACCTCAGCAATATTATCATTCCAATATGATTTGAATATCTTATTATCTAGATAACTTGCTGTGTCAGGCAAATGGCTTAACCCTATTAATGCAATTCTATAAATTTACTTGCAGACCATAATTTTTTTAAGCTACTACTTAAAATAAAATGCACTATATACAGGGTTCCAGACTGACTCAATCAATAAATGTCTAACGTATAAATAATTTTCTTTCCTTCCTTACCTCCAGATGCTCTAAAATATAGGGAGGATTTGTCATGCCAAGCCTCAGCATAGCTCCCTCAGGAATAGCTTCAACCAGCTTCCACAGAAGTGTAGGGAGGTCTGTGCCAATGTCTCTGCCATAAGCCCCTGTGTCTTCACTGGTCAGCCATATCTCACAAACACCCTCTGTGAATAAAAGGTGGAGATAATTAACAGATCTGTTTTAGGGCTGTTTATTTTATCATACAGCTGCTCACTCTTTTTAATGTGGGATTTCACAAGGCCATTATGCAGTCAGACTAGGTTTTCAATTGTAAGGGGGAGGGAAGGAAGGAAGGCTTATCCCATGGGTAGCAGAGGGTTATTAAGTTCATTTTATGAGCACAAGAGTGCTACAACAATGCTGTAAATTATCATTGCTGTGGAGTGATTAACATTCACAGCCAATGACTAATTCTGCGTTGCCTCTACAGCAAGTCAGTCACGTCTACTACTCTGCTCTATTTTTTGAACCTAATTCATTAAACACTGCAAGCAACATTACCCAAGCAAAGAGTTTGCACTAATGGTTGTTACTAGCAGTCAACTTATTAACTGGTGAGCTTCCAATAAACAAAAACAGCTCTAAAGAATAACGACTAACAGTCCTCTTAGAATAACTGCTAAAATTCTTTAAATGAGAAAATACAATATATTAAGGTTGAATTTAAAAAGTTAGTCATCACTGCTTGACTAAGTGAGAGTGTTGAAAAGCCTGTTTCCTGCCTGTTTATTTTCCACCAGTCAGGGCGTTAGGAAATAGTATATTTGATTTGTATTGCAAAGAGTATTGACCTCAAAAAACTGAAATTTGGCAATAATATCCTCTTGCTCAAAGAGGGGAAATGTTGCACCATCCTTTAATAATGGCTGAAGGCAACAAGGTTTCACGCAGCCACTTCCATCAGTCTGCCCAGCTCCCATCTTTTTAATAATGCAGTCTCCCTCCTCCCCCCCGCTGCTCCAAAGCGAGAAATAAGCCATCAAGAATAGGGTGACTGAGAAAAAGACTCCTGTGATTCCCAATAAGAAAAGTTAGCATTAACTCATTGAGGGGCTAAATTTCTGAGAAAAACGATGAATCAATAAACAAAACCATCTGAACACCATAACCATTCTTCAAGGCAATCACGAAGCATCAAAGCATGCTCTGGACAAGCAGAGAAAGTATTGCAAAATAAACTATATAAACTATTATAATAAACTATTGTTTATAGTATGAAAATATTTTTCAGATGAGGAAAATACAAAGAACTACACAGAATCAAATCAAATAAAAAGAGATAAAATAAGAAAACCACAAATTTTCCAAAAATGGAAACTCTCACTGTGGACAGCAGACAGACGATAAAGGTAGACAGCAGCTATGTCAAGCAAAGATCATTCTGTTTGGATAGAAAAGTTCTCACAGTGATTCATTAATTACAGCTGAAAACATTTACAAATCAAAGGTAAACTAAGAAACTCATCACTTAGTAAGCTTTTAAGCTTTAAGAATAAAAAGAAACAGATGCATAGCTCTGTTGATGTAGGAGCCTAGTGGCAAGCATTCTTGAAGCAGTGCTCTCTGATTATCCAATTTTCCATCACAACTTCGTAGCAACATTTGAGTAGGGCTGCCCAGTGCCTTAGGTACACTGAACTTGCCTACACACACAGTCACACATCGGTTCCACTGCAGTTGCTGATCATTTCAGAGCTGCACTCGCAGCAGACACTGCAATGTTACAGAATGTGTTCTGAGATTTGTTTGCCCAACATTTTTCTGAGTTATAGAAAAAAACCACGTGAATTATGGATCACCCACATTTTAGAAATAAATGGAACACAGATGATATAAATGATGGCTAGCATCCTGTTGTGTTTTTTATATCAGCTTCCAGTAGCTACCGTAACACTACAAAACAGTAATTCACTTGCTGTTTTTCTACTGAAATAGAGTAAATCTCACTTTTAAGCTTTCATCTGGCTAGGAATGGAAATAACATTCAGGTGGAAAACAACAGTGAGGTTTTAAAGCTGTATAGGTGGGGACCATTAGCACCCCGGTGGGCTGAAACTTCAAACCAAATCACGTGAAGAGGAAGCAGCTGTAATAGCAAACCAGCAACAACAAGAATAACTGTCTCGTCTGCTCTCCTATCACGGTGCTGAACAATAAGCAGTGGGAATAATTCATGCTGAGAGAGACAAAGATGAAGTCTCAATAAGAGGAGGAGGGGGAGAGCACCTGTATTTTAGAGAGCTTCCTTCCCAATTTCAGGCTGACAAAATGAATCTTCCCATATTTAAAGACACCGTATTTACAAAAAGAGTAAGTGAACTCCATAAACAACTATGGCAATACAGGCTTGGTGGCAGTTGTTGCTAAGCTGCTTATTTTAGCCCTCTGCATCCTGAGTTCAGGAGTCTCTACTAAAACTGAGTAATAAAACAATAGATCCCTCAGTCTTCTTAATAATGGGAAAAATCCCTCCCTTTTTCCACTCAGCCCTCTGCACTACAGCTGCATGTAGAAAGCTATTCAAATCCAATGTCTAATTGGGTACAGCATTTTTTTTCTCTTCCTCTGCAGTAAGCCTGACCAGCTCATACGCCATTCTGTTATTTGATAATTTTGGTGCTAATAAAAGCAAGCTGATTTTATAAACAAGAAAATTGATCCAGCCTGCAGAGACTGGATGTGCAAACTTGGAGAGTTTGTTACATTATTAAGGTCAATTATCATTATATTCAAGTAATTACATGTCTGTCTTTGGTCACAGCACATAGTTTATTCCTCATTCTGCCATCACCACCCAGCACAAGAGTAACCTCAACAGCTGGATCCCAAGCTGCGCCCTGCTGTAATTGGAGATGACTGAGAATGAAAAATGTTGGAAAACAAAATGTTTCCAAGTAAATAAAGGAAGTTCTGAACCAATTCCTTCTCCAGCATCTCATTATAAATATTATAAATAATAATTATTGCAGATTATCTGAAACACGCTTTAACATAATTTTTCTAGAGCTGTCTAAACAATCCTTATAAAGGGAAGAAGAAATCCTAGTGACTTTATATATGTTTCTGTTTTAGAGACCATTGAAATGATTTGTTTCTTTAATTTAAAATTTCTAGACCTTTATATTTCACTTTATTTCCATGCCACTATTGAAAACACTTTTCAGCAGTAGCACAGTTATTAATTTGAAGAGAAATCTACTCCATCTGAAAAATTTACTTCAATCTCCAAAACTGCCAAAAGAATTTAAAATATCAGATGCTAATCCTACTGACATTCTTTTATGTGTTGACCTACCGTTTAATTGCTCTGCAGGCTGCTGTGGTGGGAGATAGCCAGTTCTAACCTTCTCGCTATTCCACGTACAATATCATGAAGAACGGCATGGGTTGGAACAGACTTTAAAGATCATTCAGCTCCAATCCCCCTGCCATGGGTAGGGTTGCCAACCACTAAATCAGGTTGCCTGGGTCCCATCCAACCAGGTCTTGAACGCCTCCAGGGGCGGAGCATCCACAACTTTCATGTCACAACCTCATCACCCTCTCAGTAAAAAATATTCCACCAAAATGTAACCTGAATCTTCCCTCTTTTAGTTTAAGACCATTCCCCCTTGTCCAATCACTATCCGCCCAGGTAAAAAGTTGGTCTCCCTCCTGATTATATACTCTAAGTATTTGAAGGCTGCAGCAAGGTTTCCCTGTAGCCTTCTCCAGCCCAAAGAAGCCCAGCTCCCTCAGTCTTTCTTCACAGGAGAGCTGCCTCAGCCCTCTGATAACTTTCATGACTCTCTCCAGCAGATCCACATCTTTATTCTACTGGGGGCTCCAGGCTTGGATACTGTACTCCAGACCTCACAAAGACAGAGTAGAGGGGGTCAATTCCCTCCCTCTTCCTGCTGGCCACCCTTCTCCCATTTTCTCCACGTTCCTGGGATTGCCTTGACCTAAGTGCAATACCTTCCACTTGTCCTTGTTAAAACTTCATTAGGTTCACATCCCTTTGCATGCCATTCCCTCCTTCCGTTGTGTCAACTGCACCACTCAGGTGTCATCAGCAAATTTACTGAGGGTGCATTCAATTCTACTGTCAATGTCATTGATAAAGATTTTGAAGAACACCCATCCAAAGACAGATCCCTGGGGGACACTATAACCAGCCTCCATCTGGACAAAAAGCCATTGGCCACAGCCCTTTGGCTGTGACTATCTAAGCAGCTCCTTATCCACTGAAAATTCCAGCCTTCAAACCCATATTGCTCCAATTTAGAGATAAGAATATGGTGTGGGACCATCTCAGTGACCTTGCATATCTCCAGGTAGTTGCCATTCCTTTGTCCACTAATGCCATTACTCCATCACAGAAGGCCAGCAGATTTTATTTCCCTTTATTGAATTCTATTTAGTTACCGCCAATCCATTTATCTATATTGTTTAGTCTATCAGCCTTGTCCCCTAGTTTGCCAGCTACCTCATCACCCTGGTATTATCTCCCAACTCACTAAAAATGCACTTTATACCTCATTCTGCGCATTGTTAGTAAACATACGAGGTACTGCTCCAGGATCAACACAGGTTGACAACAAGGAATGTCATTAGGAACTGCCAGCTAGATTGGATCCCTGCTCTGTGAGTTGGGCAGCCTAACCAGTTCTCTCGGCCACGTTATCATCCATACACACCTCATCAATGTGTATATATTATAGGACACTACTGTTAAGACTTTGCTAAATTCAAGCTAAAACAAAACAAACAAAAACAAACAAAAACCAAACAAAATACAAGCCCTCTACATTTTTCCCCTCCTCCATGTAGCCAGATATCTTGAGAAGGCAGTCACATACCATTTCTCAGTAGTAAACCTACTGTGGGTGATCCCAACCATCTCCTTGCCCTTCACATGTCTAGAAGTGCCTTTGCCCCACGACCTTCCCACAGACTGATGTTCAGCTGCCCTATAGTTCTCCTCTTCTTGCCCTTCTTGAAGGGCAACGTGACATTTTCCTTTTTCCAGTCATCAGGAATCTCCTGATTGTCATGATCTTTGGATGATGAGGGGCAAAAGCATTGTAATGACACCAACCAGTGCTCCAGGCACACTCAGTTATCTCCCATTGAAGGATTATTTCCATTAGTTCTGGATGTC